TCATCAGCAGTGAAACCCAAGGATTTGGATGTGGGGAAATTAGCAGTCTGTCCCATGGGAGAAGATGCAACTATAGATGTGTTCTTCGAGCTATCATCACTGTTACTAGTAACATGATTCCCACTTGCTGTTTGATTCTTCTGGGGCTTCCTGTCTTTCCTTAGAGCAACTGGTTTCAGATGAGGATAAAGAACCCAACAAGTCTCTTTCACATGCCTTTCACCACCACAATGAGAGCACTAAAGATGCTTCTTGTCTGAATGCCTGTTCCCCTTTTGGCTTGAAGAAATTAGGGCTGAATGTTCAATAGGCTGTTCGGCTGGCTGTGTTTGAATGTCAACTTGCATCTCTTTCCTCCTAACCTCTTCATTCCTTACTAGATAATAGACATGATGTAAATCTGGCAGTTCATCCCTTCCCAAAATTTGAGACCTTATGCTCTCAAACATTGGGTCTAAGCCAGCCAAGAATTTAAAGGCTCTACCCTCCTCAATTTGTCTGTCATGCCTCTCCTTGTCTTTTGCATTCTCCCAATCAAGAATAAGATGGTGATCGAGTTCTTCCCATAATCCTTCTAGGGTTGCAAAATATGTTGCAACTGTCATGTCTCCTCTCAATGCAGCAATGTCTTGGTTCAGCCTATAAATTCTGGCATTGTTCTTTCTCTGTCCATAAGTTTTAGAGACTTTCTCCCAAATCTTAGCAGCAGTCGGAAAGTGCTGAACAGTCCTGGCCACTCTTGAAGTCATCAAAGCAAGCAGCCAGGACATAACAGTAGCATTTTCCCTACGCCATACTACATACTCAGCACTACCCACTACAGGTTCCTTCTTTTGTCCATCTAGATAAACCGTAAGATCCCGGGAAGTAATGAAGATCATGGCTGAAACAGACCATTCTCTGAAATTATATTCATCTAACAGTACACTGGTGATCTGCAAGCTGTGCAGATTTGGGTTTTCCAGATTAGGAGACCTCCCACCAGGTCTATTATCCCTAGAAGACACTTCCCCTGATATTGAAGACATATCCTTCCTCTTACAGTGATCACAATTGAAAAAACTCAGTACAATGAGCACAATTTCAGACTTACCGAAGCTGTTGCAGGCCTGAAAACCCCTTGTAACAGAACTGAAACCAAGAACACTCCACTTCTGTACAGTGCTGAACTCTTCTGGACTGGATTGGACTTCAATTTCTGCTGTAGTAGACTGTGACCAACTGTACGAACTGAACTAGGACTGTCGAAGTCAGCCCTTCCACCTAGATCTGTTCCACACAGATCTCTCTTAGCAGCCGAATGGCTACTACCTGCTGTAGGTGTCTAGTAGGGCATCTATTTCTGGAACAAAATCCCCTTGGGCCCTACAACCAAAGGAAACCCTAGATACAGACCTTGTTGTTCTCTACGGTCAGCCCTAGGGTTTCTTCACAGCGAACCTTGCTCTGTAATCAGACAAACGAACATTGCTCTGATACCATGTTTGCTGGATTACAGCAGTCAAATACGAGGGAGAAGAAGAAGAAGAGAAGAAAATCTGAGAGGCGGCATAATCTCTTCTGCCGACCCAACAAGTTTATATAGAAGATTATAAAATAATATTACATGAACAGACTAGAATGCCCCTGATTAGTGATGGGACACCTAGACAAATAAAACAATTAAAACATTAAACAGGTTTGGGCCCAATAACTAAGAACATAAGACACAACTAAGACCAACTTAAACACTAATAACAGCCGAACCAACAACTAACTTTGCAAAGGTGACATCCATGGAAACAAACTAGGTGCCACTAACGGGATCAAAACAACAATACCCTTTTTGTGTGGAGGCATAACCAAGGAAGAAACACTTTTGAGCCTTGGGGTGAAAGTTGTGTCTTTTGGAATTGGGAATGTGGACATAACAAGTGCAACCAAAGACCCTCAAAGGAATAGAGAAAATTTCAACATTAGGAAAGAGGACTCCAAAGGGAGATTTTAACCCCAAGACTGGAGAAGGCATGTGGTTAATAAGGTAGATAGCTATTAAAACTGCATCACCCCAAAACTTCAAAGGAACATGGGTAGCAAAAAGAATGCTCCTTGCAACTTCCACAATGTATCTATTTTTCCTCTCCGTTACTCCATTTTGTTGTGGAGTGTAGGCACAAGAACTCTGATGAATAACCCCAAACTTCTCAAGATAGAAGGTAAGGTCTTTCTCAAAATATTCCTTAGCATTGTCTGACCGGAATATTTTGATGCAGGTATTAAACTAAGTGTGTATGTGTTCATGGAACCATTGCACAAGTTTAGGCACTTCAAACCAAGAGTGCAAAATGTAAATCCAAGTATATCGTGAAAAATCATTAATAAACAGGATGAAATATTTATACCCACCCATACATGGTAAATGGTAAGGCCCCCGCACATCAGAGTAAACAATATTAAAAGGAATGGTTGATCTTTTATTACTTGAAGGATAAGAGCTCTTACAATGCATTGAGAACTCACAAGACTCACAATGAAGACTCGATAGACTAATTCCTTTAAATAACTCTGGAAACAACTGACTTAATGAAGAAAAGGGCAAATGACCCAAACGACTATGACATAACATAATACGACTAGTGGACTCTAAAACAAATGCGGTTCTCTTAGGTTGTACTTGGCTCTGCTCAAGCATGTCTAACAGATAGATCCCATTCGCCTCATGGCCACCTCCCAATCACCTTTTGAGATTCCATGTCCTAAAAATCACAATATAAAGGAAAAAAAAGGTCACACTGCAATTTGGAGGTTTAGTCAAATTACTAACTGAAAGCAAATTGATATTAAGTTTAGGTACATGAAGAACATATGATAAGGATAGGGCATTAGAAGTCCTAATGTCTCCCTTTCCCGTGATAGGGGCTAGGGAGCCATCAGCAACGAATAACATATCCTGGCCAGAAAGAAGTTGGTAAGAGGGAATAACTATGAAACACTGGTCATATGGTTAGAAGCACCAAAATCAATTATCCAAGGGGTTTTATGAGTACCTGAGACAAAAGCATGATGTGCAATGGCATGAATACCTGAGTGATATGCAAAGGAAGGCTCAATCTCTGAAGGAGCTATAGCAGTGGTCCAAGTGACTGATGATTTGGCCATACTTCTCATATTCAGCCTTGGCGGCTGCAAGATGTTCTCCCACTGACTTCTCTCCACTATGTCCTTGTTCACCTTGTGAAGAGGTGGCTACATTTGCATTTCCATCTTTTCCAGTTTCAACCCTTTTCTCACCATTTTCTTTCTTGAATATGGTAGAAACGAGCTCTGGATGCATCTTCCAAAATGTGTCTTTAGTGTGTTTAGGCTTCTTGCAATATTCACAAATAACATCTTTTTTCCCAGTGCTAATCTTTAGCTTCATCCCCGCATTAACATAGTTATCAACCTATGACTCAACATACTAAACCTATCTTCTGCTCTCCTCACTGCTCACCATAGCATATGCCTGAGACAAAGTCACCCCATCCTTTGATAAAACATTCTGCCTCACAATATCATACTCCGAGTTGAGTCCGGTGAGGAACTCAAATACCCGGTTTCTCTCCACCAACCTCCTATATGTTTCTGCATCCTTTTTGCAACCCCAAACAACAGTCTCCATCATATCAATCTCTTGCCAAAGAGATTTCAGCATAGAGAAGTAGACTGCTAAGGGCTTCTCTCCCTATCTAAATTATTCACATCATGCTTCAATTTGTAGGCTCGAACAACATTAAGCTTTTGGGAATAGGTCTCTGTGACACTATCCCACACTTCTTTTGCAGTTTCCATCCACAGGTAATGCTGACTAATGTGTGGTTGCATAGAATTCACTAACCAACCCACTACTGTGTAGTTTTCTTGCAAGCACCTTTCATAGGTAGGATCATCCTCCTTCGGTTTCTTCTTGCTCCCGATAATGTAACCCCATTTTCCTCTACTACACACGTGTATCCTAATATATTGAGACCAAGCTAGATAATTGGCCCCATCTAGCTTCACAATAGTCATATCCCCAAAAAGACTCTCCACTGACCCCCCACGTCCAAACCCGAAATCTGTGGAATATTTGGTCTCCCCTCCCGTTTGCTCCATTGAGTAAACAGATGCAAACATAAATCAAATTAGGGCTTTACTAGGCTAGATTTACTATTCTTAACAAAGAATAACCTCTCAACCCCCCAAAATTAGGGTTTCACAAGGTCCTACGAGGTGGGGAGAAAGGGGGAAACTTCAACTGCCCCTTCCAGAGGTTCCAGAATTCAATCCAACCAAAACCGCCCCTAATAGAAAACAAAAGGCTTACCTCTGATCCCCAAGCGCCTGGTTCAAACTGTCTCTACGACCTATAACAAGGTTTCTCCAGTTATCTAGGGTTTTTGGGAAAAATCTCCAAGAACCTACACTAGGCTTCAACTAAGGATGAAAAACCTCCACAAAACTCTTCAAAGACCTTCCTAACTGGGTTGCATAAGTATCTGATTGATCAACCGGTCAGTTCTCCATACACATTATGTATGGGAAAAGAAGGAGAAAAAAGTCGAAAGTAAGAACCCGCTCTGATACCAAGTTGAAAAGTACACCTACAGTAATTCAGATAATGCAAGAAAAGAAGAAAAGAGAGAAAGGGAAAGAAGAAGAAAAGAAGTTTCAGCAATAGGTTGTGGAAGAAGAAAAGAAGGGAAGAGAGAAAAGAAGAATTCAAACCTCTCTCTCTAGCCCCCTTTCATCACTTTTATTAATAATTCTAAGTACAATTACTTGGATGCCCTTAATGGGGTGTCCAGCACTAAAGAAATAATTAAAGAAAATAAAAGAAGGCCCGTAACTAAGAAACATAGCTTTTAAACACTATTTAAAGGAAATAAAGAACACTAGGGCCCATTCGGCCCATTCTCACTACAAATACAACGACCTTCCATAGTTGATTCAGAGAGCATCTTATTACAATGAATTAATATCCATATGACCAGACCACAAACCTTTGATAAGATCACCCATGAGACTACTGATAGGTCGGCCATCTCCAAGTCCACCTGGAACTTTCAGAATTGCCTTGCACAGTGAAGACTTGGCACAACCTGGTATTCCTGAAATAGAAATTAATTCAAGATGGTTAACGGGTGGATGCATAGAGTGCAAACAAAGAGATATGTAAAATTTTATAGTCATATACCTTTTGTTACCTTAAAGAAGTAGAAATTTTACAAATGTAGTACTAAGGAATAAAATAATACAGCAAAGTACACGAATAAAATAAAAGTTTAGAACCTATACTAGGTGAGTTTAAGGACAGGTCTTTTGGGTGGGAGTACCTACAACTGTCCAAAAATTCTTCAAATGTGAAACTACCTAAGATAGGATGGTCAACTGCATATTGGTAATTTGGCACTGTTCGATGAACAATATAGTACGTAAGCTAGAACTTAGAAGGTTTCAAACAAGCTACATTTTTTTGGTACAGAAACAAGCTACATTTGGTAACCAGTGTGCATTCCCTCATTTTATTCAGGTAGGCATAAAAGATTTGATAGACCATTCTACAACGGAGGAAAATGGAGAGATGTAAAGTGAAATGCATAATAAAAGTTCAGAACTTAGATATCTTAACATTACACATGCAATATGTGATATTCCAACCCTGAAGAATACTTGTTGAAGCTAGTCCTAATACACACAAGGCAATAAGAAGTGCAGAAATAGTGTTGTTATGCTTATGCATGCATTATTTTTTTATGATTGCATATAAAACACTAATCCAGCTTCAGGCCATACAGGGAAAACTTCACCTGGAAAGAATACAATAAGACCCTCCCTTTTAGGGGCTATGTCCTTGACTGTAGCACCTGGGCTTGAAGGCGTTGTTTCCTGCTCTCTATCAAGGTCACCCTCTTCATCCCTGCCTCCAATAATAGCCAAGAAGTCTTCAGCTCTTATTAAGTTCCCAGCAGATCCTATCAAAGACTGATTCAATGGACTGCGCTTTGCATATTGCTCCAGGAAAGGCTCTGCTTCGCTAAGATACATGGATGATGATGGTTCTTTGTTCCCACACTTCTTTCTTATGTATATAGCCCTGTATATGAAAGAACTATCTGCTTAACACAGTGATATAACTCACCACCCTAAAAAAAGAGAATGATACTTATATGATTTCTTTGGTGCAGAAAACACTGTTGCATTATTAAAAGTGCATGCACTTAAATGGAGCAGTCTGACATAGTGAGGCATGTGGATCCCATAATTGATGAAAAGTAATCAATCATATGCAACTATAGGATAAAGCATAACTTGCTGGTAAAAAATGCAAGTTACTTTTGTTGGTACTAGTACAGAAAAACATGCTTCATTAAAAATGCTCCAATACGAAAAACAGCAGCAGCAGCAACAACAACAATAATAGAGGCAGATGGTAGAAAACATAATTAAGAGATAAACGAGAATAACATACAGAGTAATATTGACATTACCATTCATCTAGCATTTTGCTGAGTTCTCTCTGCTTTGCAGCTGATGTGTTCCATATTTTCATTTGCCTGTCAATGTTGAGATAATGATCATATATACATTTGTCCAACATTGTAAGAACATTAATATTAGAGATTTGATGCAATCTAGCTAGCTTTAGATTTCTTAGAAAGATAGAATGTGTGAAGCAAATAAAAAAGGTGAAGGATTTAAACATTTAGTATTTTTTTGTTTTCCATGTTCTTATGTTTTGCCATCTATGTATATCACTTTGTTGAAGATTAATCAGTTTTATGATGTTTTTTATGAGTAGATGTTTTATGTTAGTTGTTAGATAGGAGGTGGGGACCACAGTAGTTATGTGAGTCCAAATTT